TAGTCAGGGTTTTTTTTGGTTTGGCTCCTAGACTATGTTTATAGTGATTATATAAACCAGAAATTAAAGTTTTCTGACCATCCACTGAAGCTTAATCTAGTCTGAAAATAGGTGCTTATTTTCTCACTAGGGGGTAATTACCATGGTAACCATGGCAACACACATGTAAAGTGATGTATTTTCTTGATCACCTTTTTGTACTCTACTATAATATAAACTTACATCTACCCTACAATTAATTGCAAAAAAATTGAAAATATGGGTGTAAGACCACCTTATTAAGGCTCAAAATTTGTCTTTTTCCGGCCATTTAAAAATGTTGTACACGTGGATGTGATAATTGTACACGTCACATCTCGCAAAAAAATGCCAAAATTAAACCTATAAATTTCTCCCTTTTCCTTCAGTAAAATTTTGTAAAACTTTGCACTTAATTAACATTGGCTTAACAAGCTCAATATTTTTTTCTTAATTAAAGATAGGGTACAGTCCGGTTTGCGCAAACGCACATAGGAGTCTCCTGCCCAGAGTCTACTGCCCTGATATAAACACTTTAATTAGGTTTTTATTTCATTTTATGTTCTTGCAAAGCCTGTTTGTTGTAGCTTGATAATTTATTATACTGTAGAAGCATGAAAATATAAATAGTTGTCGAATAAAGTTCAATATTTTGAATACCGAAATGTAAACAAAGGCTTTGTTTACATACGGACTGTACCCTACTTTTAAAATTTTATTGAGGGTAATTTTTTTTAATATTGATTTGTGACGTTTTTGAAATATTCTAAAAACGTTGTTTTAAAAAATGTTTTAAATTGAATAAAAAACTCGCCTTATACGAAAATTATCTTTTCAGCAAAGTTTTAAAAAATTTACGGAAGGGAATTTTTAAAATGGCCGGAAAGGGACAAATTTTGAGCTTAATTATCCTAAGTACACTGTTGCCATGGTAACGGACTTTCAGCGCAAAAGTAGCAAATTGCAATGTTCAGGAGAGCATTGTAAATGTGTCCAATAAATTCCGTCTTCAAGTTATGTAAAGTGAAGAAACAGGAGTTTTCTCAGCATGAGCTCCACCTTTGAATTTACTATATGAGTAAATTCTTAAACACGTCCGAATTTATCATTATGATAAATTCGCGGCAAATTTTGAATTTACCATAATAATAAATTCGCGGCACCTAACACTGACCCTAACCCCAACCCCAACCCTAACCACTAACCCCTAACCACTAACCCTAACTTTTTAAATTTTTTTAACTTTTTTAAAAATCTAACTTTTTAAACTTTTCTTGCTTTTCAAAACTCTTTTAAAACTTTTTTAAAAACTATTTTTTAGAAAAACTTGAAAAACACTCCCCACCACCACCGCGCGACCAGCCTCCCTTTTAGTGCCATTAAACTTATAACAAGAAATCTTGTGTAATGCTTGTGGTTTTATGATCAACTCTATTGATAAATTCAAAATGTACCGCGAATTTATCATAATGATAAATTCGTACGTGTTTAAGAATTTACTCATATAGTAAATTCAAAGGTGGAGCTCATGTTTGAGTTTTCTGGATACTATTATGTAGTATAATGCAAAAACCCTAAAGAGTCACCTTACGAGAAGATGGTTTTTAAACACAGAAATCACTCGTAGTCATTCGTGATCATTCGTGGTTACTCGTGTGTACTTTTAGACAAGACCGATTCTCGTTTTATTATCCATCACAATTGTGAGCCATTTATACGGTGTACTCTACAGAACTTACAAAGTTTGTACTACTGTTAATCTGTTACCTGAGTTAAACAGTACCTATCACGGTGTTTAAGTTGAGTTAACCGGAGTAAATTCCTGAAAAAATTGGGTCAGATCCAGGGGAAATTGGATTTAGTTCGAGTTAGCGGGATTCTACTGTATCTAAGTTGTTAAACTTAAAGACCATGTCAAGTCCGTTCTGCGCATCAGTTCTGCTCATCTAACAACGGGGGACCCACAGATTTCAACATTGCCCAAATTTTGCATCTTTCGAACTTTTTTTAATTGAAACGTACTCTAGTTTATATTCATTTACAATTGCGAGCCAGAAAAGTGTTAGATATTCAGTTAGTATGTCTTATTTCACAAATATAGCAGTTCAAAATATAAACAAAGGATTTGTTTACATTACGGACTTAACATGGTTTTTAACAATCCTTCTCTTCCATTTCCCCTTGTTAACCTCGCATCTGCACCGCAAATTTAGTCCATCCATTTTCCTCCGCCTATTTGATTTGTTTGTTTGTTTCTCAAGTTCATTCGTTCTCCTTCAATCCAAAAGTTTTCTGATAACTCAAAAATTTTCTGTGAACTCCAAAATTATTTGATAACTCCAAAATCTTCTGAGAACTCCAAAATCTTCTGAGAACTTTTCAATGTTGAGAATTTCAAAGTCGACCTTATAAACTTACCATGGTATTTAGTTGACAGAGAAACTGATATTGATAATAAATGGGAATGTTGGAAAAATCTTTTTATTACTGTTCTTGATAAACATGCCCCGGTTAGGGAAAGACGGGTACGAAATAAAACATCTGTGGCATGGATTTCTAGGAATATCAGAAACAAAATGTTTGAAAGGGACCGTTTGAAAAGAAAAGCAATTTTGTCGGATTTAAGTGAAGATTGGAGCCAGTATAAACATTATAGGAATAATGTCAACATTGCAATGCGTGAAGCTAAGAAAGTTTACTACAAAAGCAAATTTGACAAACATCAAAACAATCCAAAACAGGCTTGGAGGACGATTAATGATATCCTTGGGAGAAAAAAGGACACAATGATTAACGAATTAAAGCTAGGAAATGATACAATTACTTCTCCTATGAGAATGGCTAATTGTCTTAATGACTATTTTACAAGTATTGGTGGTAAAATTGGAGACTCCTGCTCTGAACACACTCAAAATTTAAATTTTGGCAGGCATATGAGTGATAATCTAAATACTAGTTTGGAATTTACTTTGCATCCTGTTAACGAATCACAGGTTTTTAGGCTACTTAACAATTTGTCTATTTCTAAATCTACTGGATGTGACAAAATACCGGCTAAAATTCTAAAAAACTCTGCTTCTGTAATTACACCATCTTTGACCAATTTGTTTAACTCTGCTATTGGGATGGGAATTTTCCCCTCTGAATGGAAAAGTGCTAGAGTTATACCGCTTCATAAGAAGGGTTCACGCTCCGTTTTAGACAATTATAGGCCAATATCAATTTTGCCGGTCATCAGCAAAATATTTGAAAAGATCTTGTATGAACAGTTATACGAATATTTTATTACCAATAATTTATTGTCTGAACAGCAGTTTGGGTTCAGGCGCTTTCATTCCACGTCCACTGCTTTGCTTGATTGTACTGATGAGTGGTATGTTAATATGGATCGTGGTTTGTATAATCTTGCCGTTTTTCTCGATTTAAAAAAAGCATTTGACACGGTAAACCACGACATTTTACTAGCTAAACTAGAGTTATATGGTATTAAGAACACGCCTCTTATGCTTCTCAAATCGTACTTATCAGATCGATCTCAGAAATGTCAAGTAAATGGGGAACTTTCCACACTAAAATATCTAAAATATGGCGTTCCTCAGGGTTCAATTTTGGGTCCACTTCTGTTTTTAATTTATATCAATGATTTGCAGAATTGTTTACAACACTCTACAGCACGCATGTTCGCCGACGATACTAACATTACAGTGTCCGGTAAATCAATTAAGGAAGCTGAGGTGGCCGTTAATGTCGATCTCAATAATATCAGAGAATGGCTTCTATCGAACAGGCTCTCTCTTAACCTTGTCAAAACGGAATATCTTTTGATTGGATCACGCCACAATATTAACACGTTAGAAGAACAACCGCGTGTTTTTATTGGAGATGAACCAATTAAAGGGGTTCAAGTTACAAAAACTCTGGGAGTCAAAATTGATCAATTTTTAACTTGGGACAGTCATATTGAACAAATTTCTAAAAAAATATCTTCTGGAATAAGTGCCATGAAAAAGATAAAGGATTTCACTAATTCTGATACTTTGAAGTCGGTCTATTATGGTCTTGTCCAACCCCATTTCGACTACTGTTGTGAAGTTTGGAATTCCATTAATAGAGGCCAGTCTGACCGACTACAAAAACTTCACAACAGATGTGCTAGAATTATAATGAACTTTAAAGATGAGCCTGGGCAATCTCAACTGGCCCTCGATCAATTAGGGTGGATAAGCTTGGAAGAAAGGCGAAAACATAATATGGCCCGTCTCATGTTTAAGGTTGTCAATAATCTGGCACCATCGAGGTTCTCATCAATGTTCCAGAATTCTAACCATATCCACAGTTATAATTTACGAGGTTCAAATGCGTCTCTCTTTCTGCCACGACCAAATACCGAGTATGGCAGAAAATGTTTTCGATATAGTGGGGTTAAAATCTGGAATAGCATTCCTGAACAAGTAAGAAACAGCGAATCTTTAAATTCTTTCAATAGAAATATTTCCTCTGTTAGTCTGACGAATTAGCTATTTGAGTTTTGTATACCATTTGTTTTGTAATATGTATTTGTATTCGTAGTTCTTAATTTTCTTAGTGATTTTGTATTTTATATATTTTTGTAACATTTATCTACGCCCCACTTGGAAAGCAGCTATGGTTGAAGTGGCCAGCGTAGTCAAATAAAGTTTTATCCTATCCTATCCTATCCTAACTCAAAAAATTTTCTGATAACTCAAAAATTTTCTGTGAACGCCAAAATTATTTGATAACTCCAAAATCTTCTGAGAACTCCAAAATCTTCTAGAACTCAAAAAATTTTCTGATAACTCCAAAATTTTCTGGGACCAAACGTTCCCGTGATCCGATACTATTTCCATCGCCGAACTCCATATTGTGCAATTTTTGCCACGGGTCAATACGAGGAAAAGGTAAGGAGCGACAGGGGAGTGTG